TGGAGATCACTTTGTCACTGTCCACATGAACAGATAATAAAATCACAAGGACAGTATCATAGAAAGATATTCCTGTCTCTCTAACAGCTCTCACAGGGCCATCAAACATTACATATCTATAATTCAGAGGCCTCTCTGAATCTCCCACATACAGTAAACACTCTGAGAAATCTGTGCTATTTGACCCCGGCTGAGGTCCGACAGCGTCTGAGGTCAGCCCTAGGTGTCCCTGACAGTGTGGGTCCTGATGGGTCAGGAAACGCTGGACTTCTCCCAAACGACCCCTGAGGACCCCGAGGTGGCATTTTCCCTCCGATTAGAGCTAAAATACGGCTGCTGTTAGAGCTGCGGCCCCCCGGGCGATCATGATGGAGGGAGGAAGGAAGCTTCTTTTCCTGTTCTCCTCTCTCCTCATAACTCATCTGTCTTCTCTTAATTCTCTTTCTGTCCCTGAATCTATTCCCTTCTGGATTCTTTTGTGGAAAACTTTCGTAAAAAGTAAAAAAATAAAATAAAAATGAACCCACTTCACCTCTCCCAGGACAGGAACACCCATGACAGGGAGAGAAACCAACAGTTTAAGAAAAATCATTTAAAGTGACAGTAAACAAAACCACTGAAGCAGGGAGGGAAGGAGGGAGGGAGGGAGGGGTTGCTTTAACCTCTGGATCACACTTAAGCTAGTGTGCCATTAATGCCCAAACACACTCAAACAAACACTACATTAGCAAGTTCACTGCACAGTCCAAAAAAAGGGGATGGAGGGGGTTGGAATTAAAAGATTTCCCTCCTCAAACAGGATGGCACAGCAGAGCCCGTGACACAGCTTAAAGGAGGAAAACAAAAGCTGCAGTAGGTAGTCTAAACACCATTCAAATGGAAAATGAGACGTAATTACTGCCGCATTCCTGCCAGAAAGCACTTCTTTGACAAACACCCTCTTGTACTGTTTAAAATATTACTCAAATAATTAAATCAGGAGTGCAAAAAAAGAAAACCAAATGTTGGGCAAAATGTGGATCTTAAACCTGATGAATATTTACAAATCATTTGTCAACACGCAAGATATGGTTGGCAATTTGAAAAAAATACATGTGCACCCAGCGTTGATTGAAAGATGATTATTGATGTTTAAGGTTGCTGACATGGGCAAACAATCGGAAACAGCAGGTCAGATCATGTAGGAACAACACCTACACATTAGCACACTGATGGCAGAGGCTGCATAGTGACCATCAGAAGTAACTCATCCCATTCATACACATTTATACGCCGCTGGCCGAGCAGTGGGAGCAACTTGGGGTTAAGTGTCTTGCCCAAGGACACTTGGGAGAGTCGTTGAGAGTCGACAGACCCTCTGCTCCTTTAAAGACTAAACTCAAAGATTGTAAGTGAACCCCTCCAGAGACTCCATGAATCAGCCTGTAATAGAAACAAGCTAAGGTTGGCAAAGAGTATTGTCTCTACCCCTGACCACGCTCTGTGAACAGAGAATATGAACTATTGTCTTCAGAGCTGAGAAACAGGGTCTTACATTTCAATAAAGTCGGACTAAAGCCCTCTATTGTACACCAGTCGATCCTAAAAATGAATATCTTTATCTATCTGAATCCCAGATCAAAGTTTATTGAATATTTCTCTGAATATTTGTTCAGTGTCAGGATGTTGTGTCAATTGTTTGTTTGTTTCTTTTGCAAATAGAGCCACATTTCACATTTGTCTGACAATAATGTTCTATCAATCAAATCAATCAATCCATGATGTCATTCATTATATTCATAAAAAGTCTGAATTCATGTTTTGCCAGGTCAATCTGCAAAACCAGACCAAAACCAACTTTTTAAAGAAAGTTTGGGCGATGAATGGTCCTAACCATCGACTGTAAATATGGATGGAGCCTGAGTGACGTCACCCATCTGTCACTGCAGGGGGCTTTGGAGTCTTTTTATGAGCAGAAATGTAAACGTCAACTTGTATCACATTTGAACAGGACATGATTTTTTCACTCGTGTGTCTTTTTTTACTCTCTTTGCCAAAAAATCAAGACAGAAATAATCTGAATCTGTTTTTTTTAAAGGAGTGGAAGCACAGGTTTCTGACTTAAAAAACATAAAGTCTTACCGTATGCCAAAGTGCTAAGCAAACAGTCCTGCTCCCAGGGCTCAGGGTTTTTATATGAAACCTCACAATGATGCTTGTAGTTCACATTTTTGTTGTAAATCATAATAATTATGGTTTTGGTTATGCTAAGCTGCTCTGTGACTCATTTTCACACATGTGATATTTCTCTTTTCAGACCTTGTTAATACTTATGAGTCATGTTTCCAGTTTTTTTCAACAAACTCAAAGCGTGCTTTGTCAGAAAATGAGGGTTGAATATACAGTAGGCTCCACTGTAGATTGATTTGTGACCGCAGAGCTGACTTCAGGGGCCAAACTGGGGGCAAAAAGGGATAAAAGAGGTTTTATTTCTTGAGTTCAAACTTTTTAATAGGAATGGCTGCTATTATCGCTGCAGCTGAAAGAAAGACAAAAGAGCGGAGTCTTGGCACCTTGGTGTAGAAATGAATGTTTACTGCTTGGCTCTCTCTGTCTGCTACTTCCTTGTTTGTACTCTTACTTTTTTCTTTACTTTTTTTCTGCATTGGATGTCTGTCTCTTGCTCTCTCTCTCTCTCTCTCTCTTTGTGCGGCGCTCTCAGCTGCGGTCCAGATGATCTCTCAGCCTCTGTGATAAGTCGATTTTGTAATTCCCTGTGTTTTCAAAGGCATCATTACAGCTTATTTATATTTGGAAGCTGACTCTTGGCCTCCCCACGTCAGGAGACAATCACGAGGGAAGCCCATTTTGTGGAGCCCTGTCTCGTTCAGTTAGGAAACGGAAAAATAAATCATAGTGGAGGCAGACTGAGTGGATAATAGCTGGAGTCAAACACACATACACACACACACACACACACACACACACACACACACACACACACACACACACACACACACACACACATACACTATCTCTACTGCCTCACACTTTTGGCCGGTAGATTTTAAAGAGTAGTAACCAAAATATGTTTTAGCAGGAAGCATTCTCATTTATGCTCAGTAAGACACAATTTAAAAGATGATAGTGGGACGCCGATAGCCGAGCGGTTATGTTGCACGCCCCATGTACTACAGAGTCCTCATCGCATCGGCCGTGGGTTCAAATCCGATCTTGGCCCTTTGCTGCATGTCATCACCCCACTCTCTCCTCCCAACACTTCCTGTCTCCCTACTGTCCTGTCTAATAAAGGCAAAAAATCCCCCCCCCCCCCCAAAAAAAAAAAAAAAGCATCCCGTTAGACATATCTTAAACATTTCCAAAAATATTGGATTTACTCACTCTGTTGACAGGGCGACACACAAAAGTTAATTCAGAATCTAAACATACATTTTTTCACACATTTTTCAGGGACTGTGGAGCATGCACAGAATGCCTAGTCCAAGTTGGGTCTGATTGTGGTGAAAACATGCACGAGTAAATTGATCTTCACGATGGTAGCTCAGTCTGTATAGGGACTGGGGTTGGGAACTGGAGGGTTGCTGGTTCAAGGAGCGGTGCGGACCAAAATATGAAAGTTAGTCTGGTAGCTGGAGAGATGCCAGGGCATTTCCTGAGCATAGCTGCCCTTGAGCAAGGCACTGAACCCCCAACAGCTCTGGTGCGCTCCATGTGTAGCAGCCCCACTTAGACATATCTCCAATAATGCATGTCCAGAAGGTCCTGTCCTCTCAAAAACAGAAAACCAGAATGTCCCTCGGGATTCAAAAAGTATGTCAAATGAAAACAAAATCTCCAACAGTAATATCAATGTGTGTTAGTCCGACTTTGAGAAATTCCATTTAGTACCATTTCAGTCTGACTAACATGTTTGGATGTTTTTTTTAAAGTCCAGTTTTAGTCGAACTAACACAACAAATACTTTTTTTCTAACAACATGTAAACAAACTTGTTTTGAGGGTCGACGCATCGGAGTAGATGCTAAGTTTGCTGCTTTCCATTTTTTGTAACTCAATGCCTCCACATAGTAAAACAGCATTCCCTTTGATATTTGAAACCTTTAAATTCCATGTCAGGTTGTGAATGTAGAATCAATATGTTCAATAAGAAAATCAGTCTTCCATTAAATCTAAATGTTTTAAAAAGGGGCCACCAAAGACACAACACTTGTGTTTGTGTTGAACAAGTTTAATCACTAAATATGTAAACTGACCCCCCACCCCCTCCTCCTGCCCGCTGTATTCCCATCACATATCTGTCCTGCCACGTCCCCAACGCGTCTGCATCCGTCTAGGAATAGAGGCTGTTTTTTCTCCTTCGGGACAGTCTGGTGCCAGAGAGAGCGCTGTGGGTAAACCTCGTTACCCGCCCCACCACCCTGACAAACAAACCACAAACAAACCCGCTGGGGCCCCAGGCACCAACAAAACCACCGGCCCCAGCCCCTCAGTCTGCCTAAGTCAGCTGCCTGTCTGTGTGTGTGTGTGCAATTGTTTCAGCTGAGTGAAAAAAAAAAAAACTCCCCTATGTGAAAGGCTTTGTATTAAACAGGGAGAAAGACTCAGATTGTTGGGTGTCATAAGCTAAAAAGGAAACCAGAAATGTCTAAAATCTCAGACAGAAGTAAACAATAGAGGCCACTTGACTTGTCAATAAACCTTAAAGGTCAATCCTGCATTACCTGGAGTAACATTTATTTTTCCAGTTGCACATCGTGTGCTGAAGAGAATTTCATTTTCAAAACATTTACAGTAAAATATACCGATCTGTGACAGTTTTAGTGGTCAAAACTTTAATTAAATTTTTATTTTATTTGTGGGGTGCCAGCCATTGCTGACCCTGGAAAAAGTCGTTTTGTCTGTTTTTTTGTTGCCAACTTTGTGAAAAACCCTTCAAAGGAAGTAAAAGTATAAAACTCAACAACCTTATAATATTTATAATAAAAATAATGAAAACAGAAATCTTCAACTAGGCTTTGTTTTAATAAAGCTTTTTGTATTAAACCCCAACGTTAACAGTAAACACAACAACCACAATAATATAACACCAGCAATTTTAAATAAAAATAGTCTTCTTTCTGAGGGAAACATCAACAAAAAAAACCTCATTCAGGCTTTCATCTTTCAATTCTTGAATTCTTGGTTCAAAACAATCTTAGTCTTCACGGGTAAAAACAAATAAAAAAATAATAGTCTGTTTGATTCACTTTAAAAAATAATAATAATCCCATTCAAAGCTTGTCAGTCAGTCAGGTCACGGAGCAGTCTTTGGACTGACCTGCTGTCCCTGATTATCCTGCTGAGAGGAATTCTGGTAAGCAGTTGAGCTGAGCGGTGGAAGATCTTAGAAATAAGGCACAATCCGAGCCTAAACTACCCCGATTTGGCACAATCTGTCCATAGACATTAGTCTCTCTTTCAACACACACACTACTGAATTGCGCTGCCTGTTTGACAGGCGTGACATCATAAGAGTGCGTCGCAGCGGAGCGGACTCCGTTGCACAAAAAAACGACAGGATGTCAGACTGAACCATAAAACACAGAACCCAAATGCATCACTCCAAAACACTAGTTCTTTAATCAGAAGAATGGTCAGTTCACTGGAATCCAGAAAAAAAAAGCAGAGGTATCCAAATCGTAAGGCAAAAAGACTGGTTCAAAAATACAGAAACTGATCAGAATTACTCATCAGCAAAATCTTCTGGGAATGCTGGAACTCTGTCACAAAAAAACAAGACGAACGGAGGGGACCACAGGGATTAAATACTCAAGGGGAGTGAAGACAGCTTGACACAGCTGAGACACATCAGGTATCCACATATGTGAGAGACACAGGCGGGAGGGTAGGAAGCAAAGGATCGACACAGTGTAAGTATCAAAGTAAACAGGACACACAAGACATGAAACATGAGAATAAAAAATAACTTTACTATCCTGGAGATTGGACACAGGAAGAAAGCCTGAAGAAGAAGAAGACAGCCTGACTGGGCAACAACATCGTTATTACATTAATTCAACATCAGCAAATCCAGGAAATTCTTCATCTTCAGATTCTGCCTCCAAGATATCAATGACTCTTTGGCGCTGTTGTCTGTCCCACTCAGCAGCTGCCGGGCATGGTTTGGAGCTGGGCAATATTAACAACTCGCAAATCCTTACCAGAATCCTCCAGGACAACTTCATAGTTTAAAGGACTTACTTTTCACACCATATTTTCAGATACAAATTGTTTCTGGTCAGTAAACTGGGCCGGTCAGTAAGTTGGGTACACTGGTTGATCTGGATCTTAGATTAGCTGTCCGGCTAACAAGTAGCTCTTCTCTTATTTTAAATTTAATAACAATGGGCCGCTAATATATGTGTAGAATGTTGTTCACCACCTTGCATATGTTATGGAATATGCATGCGCCTGCGACAGGAACAGCTTTTTGATGAGACTCCAAAGCCCCCTCTATATTTATTCAGTCAATTCATACTGGTGTCCCAGTTTGTGATTTTAACATCGAGTTAAGGCATTGCAGAAGTGAAGGCGAGACGTTACAGAGGCGTAAATATCCAGCCTTGAACTGGCAGTATAAAAGAGGGCGATGTAATAGTTGCTGAGTTGCTTATATTCCAGACTGGACATAAGTTGAAGACTTCCCAAGATAACAACATTGCCCCCCCTTCCACCTCTGCTCCTTTCTAACTTTAATTAATGTTTTCTTTTTCTTTCTGATTCTCCCCGACACTGTGTTGTGGTTGACTTAAAGCTGAAGTACAGTTAGGTGTGGACTTTACACTCTCTCGCTCTGCTGTAGGCCAATAAAATTGTCAGTCCCATTATCAGCTCACATGCCTTTCATGAGTATCTTTATATGTCTGCAGGACTGTGTGTGTATATGTGAAGCTTTTATTACACTGTTTTTTTAATCTTAATCATATAAACTTGTCAACATGGCGTCTATTACAAGAACATTCGGGAGAAGTTAGTCACCAACAGTGCTGCCAAGGCACATCAGGCTTAGTTTTGCTTTACGGCGCTCATTTTTAAGCCCAAAAATATAAGCAATTTATTTTTGTTGCTGCACTCAAAGTTTAAGGGAAGGATGCTTTAGCAGGGAGGCTATTTTGGTTTTTGAAGGGATGGCATCCTTACTAAGCTGCTTTCGTCACTGGATTGTTGCTGTACATGTTACAGCTGGCAGAGAGGAGCTACAAACAGTGATTAGTTGAATGAGGGAGGAGGTCAATTCATAGTAATAATTACTACAGAAAGTTGCTTTCATTGTAATATCAGGGATGAAAAACACTCAGAGATTGGCACACATTAGTCAGGAGCTACATGAATAGAAATTGTACAGAAAGCGCCTCAGGAGGATCCGGGGACGGTACTTCCTGAGGAAGAAAGGAAACAACAGTTCACACGAGCATTTAATTGTTTAAAAAAGAAGAGTAAGTGCCTTCCAGACATTTATGCAAAAGGAATAAACAATTAGACACACACACACACACACACACACACACACACACACACACACACACACACACACACACACACACTAGATCTGTCCGTGTGACACAGGCGGGCATGCAGCCAGAAGCAAACATCACACCCACACTCCAGTGCCCGGGGGGTGAGAGGGCGAGGAGGGATTTTGGAAACTAATGCTCACTTGGCCCGTCTAATGAAGCATTTAATACACAGTGCTGGGAATGCAGAACAAGCATGATTCATGCAGCAATTAAACTGTGCTCCAACATCTACTGGAAAATAACAAAAAAGTAATAAAATGCTGCTGCCGCCAGCTTCACTAGGCAAACTGTTTTTTGCAGAGAAATCTATAGATGTGTATCCAACTAAAGTATAGGTGGTGTGCATTTCTGTTTACTGTACTTTATGAGGAGGTGCTGTGCACAAATAATGACTGATTCATGTTTGTTTTACACTGTTAGATGGGAGAACAAACTGAGAGTAAAAGGTTGGACAAACATATGAAAAGCATTTTAAAGCCAATTATTATATTTCCTGCACTTTTCAAGTGAGTGAAAGGAGTGAATACAAATCTTTTTCACCCCATCGTTTCATATCGTATTCATATTGTAGGTTTTTATTTTCTTTAATGGGGGCAAAAAACAACAACATTTTTATTTAAGGGTTTTGGAGAAGATAAATGGTAAATGGACTTGAGCTTGTTCAGCGCTTTTCTACTCTTCTGACGACTCAGAGCGCTTTAGCGTTTATAGATGCACGGTGCGTGTGTGAACAACCAGATCAGGAGGATTTCAGGAGCAGTCCTTCTGAAACTCTATAAATGTTCTGAGTGAAGGTGTGTAAACGGCGTACTCAATCAAATTGTTACTCATAGATGCAATAATCTAGGTCCAATAATCTGGAATTCAAAAAGAGAGAAATAAAAAACTGCTTCCCACAAATTCTAAAGACTATTTGGTTTCTTGTGAACTTTCCCCTAATAAGTTTTATTATTTGATTTCATTCCTTCCAAATTAAACTTTGACCTTTTCTTCTCTGTAGCCTAGATCCCCAGATATCTGTTGGACTAATGAAGAGTCATAACATTATATTGTTGTTTCATTTCTACAATTTTAGTTTAACTGACTAAATAACACAACAAACTTATACAAACAAGATATATTTTCAAAAACAGGCGATTGTATTGCCAGTGAACAAAACATAAAAGGACAAACTCACTCTTGCAATGACTCAGGGATTTTCCCACAAGGCAACAGCAGGACTCCTTTGGGTGAAAACATTGTGATTTGATGAGCTGGCAGTTTTGTTGCTTTGTGATCGCAGCCTGTTGACGATCCCGACGGAGTCAGCGGCTCGATGTAAACATAGAGGTACCGCAACTCAGACCAGGTGGCGTTTATTCAGCCACTTCACTGTGTATTATTCCTGAGCAATTACATGACCATCCCGTGTAGGACACAACGGAATGAACACAAACAGAAACCTGATCTCCCTCTGAGTGGTTCGCTGTCCATGCAGCGTCAGAGGCAGACAGGGAGGGTGTGTGTGTGTGTGTGCATGTGCGTGGCTGTGTGTGTGTGTGTGTGTGTGTGCAGAAATAGCATTTTTTTAAAGCTCAAAACATTTTCTTTTCACAAACTATCCCTGTTTTTTCCTCTTTTTTTTTTAAACCAAAATGAATGCAGGACTATCTTATCCTCCTTATACGAGTTGCTTCAGCTTCAGTTTTATGACCAAACATGGATTATTGCTGACTGGGAAATATTTACGATGCTCCTTTGCTGTAATGGTTCAGCTTTATTTACCATGTGATAAGACTTTATTGCTTTTATGGCAGAGAACTATAGCAATTAGCAGTTGTAGTGCAAACAACCTGCTGGTCACTCCCTTTGTGTGTGTGTGTGTGTGTGTGTGTGTGTGTGTGTGTGTGTGTGTGTGTGTGTGTGTGTGTGTGTGTGTGTGTGTGTGTGTGTGTGTGTGGTTAAGAGTCCTCAGACCTCAGCACACCCTGACAAAACCCATCTGTCACATCACATGTTTCAAGCTGACTTTTTACCTTTGCCTTTCATAAATCGATTGAACTTTGAAGATGTTATAAACGACCAAAGTACGACACCCTCTCACATCCAGACATTTGAGTTGCAGAGCACAAGATTTGACGAGAGGAGTTTATTATTCATAGACCTCAATCAGAACCCTGCTGCCTGTTTTGAAGTAATGTTGATAAAGTGATGGAAAATAAGATCGCGATTCCGTATATAGTGTTTTATTGTGAAATTGACCGGATGCTCTGTGCGTTTCCTAGTCTGACTTCCTGTCCAAGTTGTCATACTCTGCCCAGCTTGACGTTTGCCTGCAGCGTACTCCATCAGCAGAGCGCAGTACCGTTGATGGCACGCTCCGGAGACGGTTATGTGTTAGTAAATCTGAAATAAAAAACTATTTGGCGTACCTTGTTCTCTAAGTGCGAGACAGTTATGTACAGGTTTGTCTTTGGGTTTTAGCTTCAACTTACTATAGGCCTCGTTCCAATGTGCGTTTATTTTTAAAGGTGTCTGCAAGGAGCAGCTGGAGCGACAGTGTCATCCTCAGCTCTGTTCAGTGTGAGCACTAAATCGCTTCTCCAGACCGCACTAATGCACTAAATATATTTTTAAACAGTGTGGCTTTTTTTCGGGAAAGTCCTCTCTGATATATAATGAGAGCAATGGTAGCCAAATATTTAGATTTAAACCCACATGATACTCAATCACTGCAGACATCCACTGTCCAAACACTCAGGAAGCTTTCCCTCCACATTTGATAAATGACTCCCACCGTTTTCTCATCAGTGGCTTCCCATTTTCTTTGCAGTGTCATCATATAGCCACCATTTCATATAATCACAGATAATGATAACTGCTGTCTTCCGCTGAGCGCACAGACCTCCCCACTGGTCACACACACACACACACACACACTCACGCTGCATTTAAAGGGGGCGCAGACATGACTGAGGCAGGCAGGCGGCTTTAAAACAAAGACAGTGTGAATGTGTGAGCCAGTTATCAGCTCCAGCAGAGCTATGCGAGGCCTCCAGACAGGCCCTCATTGATTTGAAAGTGTTTCCCCCCCTCCTCAGTAACCCAGGAGCTCAAGGGGGGTAGGGGGGGGAGGGACAAGAGGGGGCAGGCGGGGCACATTGAAGGCCCAGGGTGTGATGGTTATCTCTGGGGTTGAGTTACAGCGAGCAGAAAGGGGGTGTTGGAGGGTGGTGGGCACAGGGGAGTCTCCTTCTTTGCTGTTGTGTGTTCACAGAGGGAGCCACTGTTTCTGCAAAGCCCCCCTCCCCTCAAATCCCACCTCCTAACTCACCTCCCCAACACAGCCACAGTCTTCTCAAGGGAAAAGAAAAATCTGCACCAACTGCTGCCTCCAATCCCGTCACCCAGCGCCACTTCTCACATGCACAGAGTCATTAAATCTTCAACAAAAGAAGGTTGATTTGGCACATGCAACTTTACCTTTAGGTGTGCACGTGGTACGACTACTTGCTTAAGGAATTTTACAGTTTTTTTGTTTTTTTTTACTGATTTAAAAATTCAGAACCTGATTTCTGAGTTTGTGAACCCTTGTGCAGAAACATAATTGTCCAAAAAAATAAAGATTGGGTATTCTGACCAAAACTATAGGATGTAAAGTTGAATTGGTTTAAGGAATAGGAATGCATTGAAGACAACATCTCTGGTTCTGCTGCATTAACAATGAAATAGTTGTGGACGGTTGTACTATTTTGATGTTGGCGTATAATTGTGTGTGTCTGTATGTGACTCAGTCCCACACAGGCTCACAGACGGAGCATGTCAAGGCCTGTCCGGATGGCCAGTAGTCAGCGGCTTGTTCCTTATCCTGTGAGCGACCTGTTATCTGCTCTCCCATCACAGCTCTACTCAAAGGAGAGCTGCTTTCTACTAGAAGAAAGAGGGGAGAAGGGGATCATGCAATGTGAAATATGTTGAAATAAATGAACAAGTGATCAGGAACAAACCCGCTAACTGTTTCTGTGAAAACCAGTTTTGTTCTTCCTCTCAGAGACTTAGTTGATGTGGACTTTTATGATCATATTTACTGCTAGAACCAACAAATGTATTTTTGGCCCTTGTTTTTTTCTCTTTTTTTGTAATCCTGACTGAATTCAGAAAACGCATATTTTTATATTTTATGCAAGCAACATAATATCAGACATGATCTCCGTTTAAAGATTTATTTTTCTGGGGTGGTGGCGGCGCAGTGGTTTGTGCGCATATCCCATACCTAGGCCGCCCGCTTGGAGGCCTTAGTCCTCCAAGCGGGCGGCCTAGGTTCAAATCCAACCTGTGGCTCCTTTCCTGCATGTCATTCCCCACTCCCTGATTTCCGACTCTATCAACTGTCCTATCTCTCCAATGAAGGCAACAAATGCCCAAAATTTAAAAAATCTTAAAAGATTTATTTTTCTGAATTAAATCATTGAAAAAGATATTTGAGTTTTTATTTTTAATTCAAATAAAGATTAAACACTTCAGAAAGAAAATGCTTGTTGCATAGAGGACACATAAACTGGACAAAAACTGATGGTCGGTCTCTTTCGCTCTCTCTCTCTCTCTCTCTCTCACACACACACACACACACACACACACACACACACACACACACACACACACACACACACACACACACACACACACACACACACAGCCAGAACTCGTGACCAGCAGCCAGCGATCTAATGAAGCCTGCTCTGCCTGACTGGTCTGGAAGTGACTGGGGGTGACACAGGGGCCATCATCCCATTGACCAACATTCCTCTTTTATATAACAACATTTACTCTGATGACATTTACAGCAGCCTGTTAACATCAACACGCAATCCTCTGCAGCTCCTGAATGCTCCTGCTTCCACATGCTTCACAGTGAAAAGAAAAATACATTAATCACTCCTGTGGCTGAGTCTCATTAAGGAGTAATGCTCTGCAGAAAATCATGTTGAGTCCGTGCCAGATCCCTGTCTTATTAAGAAGGAAATATGGGAAAATACTTGTCATATCCAGACAGTGACTCTGGAAGGAGACGGAGGAGACCAGAATATGCCTTGGCAGGGATTCAGGCAGTGTGTGTATGAATCTAATCTGTCTCAGAGTGGTGTGTGGAGCCAATGGTTAACCAGCCTGTTGTTCAGAGACTCAGATAGAGCGGAAGCTGATTAGATGCACTAGCAGTAAATACACTACCAGAGCAGAACTCTCCATCACCGAGCTGCAATAAGATACAATTATCATTTTAAAAACATGAGAGAGAATGTGTCTGCTATGCTTATATTCCACTTATCTACATTTGATGATAACCGTTTGATACTTAAAGGCTGAGCTGACGTTTTTGAATGTGAGCTGATGTAAGTGTTCAAGGTTAACGAGTTGTTTTAAACAAAGCTATGGTCTGATAGTCATGTTTTTATAATAACAGTGCAGTGTGTTCGGTTTATTATCAGATAAAGGACATTTTATTTTCAATCATGTGGCATTTTTACTCCAGTTTTATAGGATGTTTTAAAAAGAGGGTTTGGTAGTATTTGTGTGCATGTACATTAAGTGTCTGCGTGGAGGAGGTTAAAGGTTAAAGTGTGTTGGTGTTTGGTATGACCAATGGCACCCCGGTGTCACTGCAGCTTGAACATAGTCATAAAATACAGAATTTCAAGAGTTAATCATGATTGATTGTAGTTTGCATGTTTAAAATATAATTATTTTGTGTATTGTACTGTCTTAAGCTTAGTTTGCTTTACTCCCTGTTTGGAACTTTTTTGGAAGGAAAATAAGGAACTTCCAGTGAATCAAGAGTTACTAAATAAACGTAACAACCAAACCAAAGGAAAATGATTTTTTGTAGTGAAGTGAAATGTGCGAGGGAGATCACACTGGTCACTCAGTGAGTGTGGGGAAGTAATTATCCCAGTGCAGTGTCAGGTGTGTGTGTGTGACTGATTGACCCTGATTTGGTCCAGGTGTGTTAAGGTTATATATCCTTGAGTAGCAGCACTTTGTGTTGGCTCATTGTCTCACCTTCAGAGACAGTGAGAGGTTCTCGCTGTGGTTCTTGTGCACTCTAGAAGTGTGTGATTTTGCATAAGCATTTGTGTGTTTACTTACAGGATCTAGATCTACAAATGGAGTTAATGTATTAACTTAGGTTCGGGAGCAGGACCACGCCTAAAACCACACCTCCAATTACCTGACAGCCTACTTAACACCTGGTCACCTCACCACACCCTGTTTGTCTCAGATCCTTTTACCCACCCTCCCTTTCCTACTTCATATCCAGTCACCCTCCTTCCTCATCCCTTCCCATCCAATTCGGCACACGCCTCTCCCTCGTCTCTCTCATGTCAGGTACAGTCTGGGGCTGTAATCAGTTCAGGTGGATCCATACCCAAGACGGAACCCCCCACTCTGAGTGTCTTGCTAGCCCGATCAACCTCCCAGACCAGCCTGAAAGACGACGGCCATCTCACACCTACACCCCTCTCATAG